TGGTGGTACAGTGGTTAAGTGCTTGGCTGCTACCAAAAGGTCAGTGGTTTGAACCCATCAGCCACTCCGTGGGAGAGAGATGTGGAGTCTGCTTCCATAGGGTTATAGCCTTGGAAACCCCGTGGGGCAGTTCTTCTGTGTCCTACAGTATAGGGGCGCTATGAATAGGAATCGACTTGATGGCAACGGGTTTTTTTTTTTTTTTAATTCTCAAGAAACAGTTTTGAGCAAATCTTCCCAAATACCTAAAGATGATCTTATTTTTAATTAGGAAAACACACTTCGGCAATTTAGAGAGATACCATTCTAAAATACATTAAACATTTTGGGGTTTCCTGCCGATTTAAACACGAGTCTCCCGAGTCTGAGTTCACACTTTCTTGCTGATCTCAGGGTTCTCTGACACCGGGAGCAGGAGGGGTTCATGCTAAGATGTGCAGGGCTGCTGGACCCGGAACCCTCATGGTCAGCTCGCACTTTTACTAAAGTGACTTCTGTCACCTTCCTTCCTGTTGGGTTCCCCCACTACTGGCTCTGAGCTGACACTCCGACAACCAAGATGCTGGAAGCCAGGCAGGTAAGTGAGGCATTTTTGTATGCTGTCAAGAATATGTAACATGTTATATAATGATTCATTAGATTCAAAAAAATCTTTCCCATACACAATTATAGAGTTAAAGGACATTCAAATAATAAGTACATAACATAGTTTAAAGAAAATGTTCTACGTCCGACTGCGGTGAGTAGCATCTGGGGTCTTAAAAACCTGCAAAGGGCCATCTAAGATACATCTTTGGTCCCATCCTGGCTGGAGCAAGGGAGAATGAAGAAAACCAAAGACACAAGGGAAAGAATAGTCCAAGACTAATGCCCCACAATTACCACAGCCTCCACCAGACTGGTGCCTAGCTACCACCACCGACTGCTCTGACAGGGTACTGGACAGAGCAGGAGAAAAATGTAGAAAATTCAAATTCACACACACACACAAAGACCAGACTTGCTGGTCTGACAGAGACTGGAGAAACTCCGAGAGTATGGCCCCCGGACACCCTTTTAACTCAGTACTGACGTCACTCCCGAGGTTCACCCTGCAGCCAAAGATTAGGCAGGTCTATAGGGCCAACAATAACACACGTGAGGAACGTGCTTTATAGCTCAGTCAGGTACACGAGACTAAATGGGCACACCAGCCCAAAAGCAAAGATGAGAAGGCAGAAAGGGACAGGAACACTGGACAAATGCTAAGTGGGAACCCAAGGTGGAGAAGGGGAGAGTGTTGATACATCAGCAGGGTTGGCAACCAATGTCACAAAACAAATTTGTGTATTAACCGTTAATGAGAAACTAATTTGCTCTATAAATTTTCACCTAAAGCACCAGAATAATAATAATAATAATAAAAGTGAAGTTAGGCCATGTAAGTTCTGATGTTTTAAACAAGTCACCTGGTTGGTTTAGGGCAGAAATAATAAAGATTATTAAGTGTTCAATTCTAAGACTACTTCATGTCATTACCAAACTATCAAATTTTGTCAGATTTTAAAATCTCACCGTTAACTTTTCAACTTACAGCCACTTCAGAGAATGTTAAAATGCTTATTGTTTTTTGAATAAGTATTATCCTTATGTTTCAAAACTAAAAACATGTAAGAAGGGATAAGATGAGAAGCCCTCCCTCCTCTCAAACACTGGGTACTGACATTTTCTGGAAGAAACTCTCATTAAGCACTTCTGATCCTCGCAAACACAGTCTACACACAAAGAAGACCCCACCCTCCAGAACAGAAAAGTATGTCTGTGTATATAATTTTCAGAGGAATTCTATATCAATGACTGAGGAAAAAGAAAATTGAAAGCAAACGTCTTGCCATTTTTGATTACTGGAACGTCCCAAGATTGCAAAGACGACACCCAGGCTGCATACAAAGCAGTGCTGTCTGCCACCACAGCACCACGCTCACTTCACCACGCTCAGGAATCGAAACAATGACAATGATCTAAGAGAATGACCTTGACGGTCAGGGGAACACTCGTCCTGTACCACTGTGAGTCGTAAGATGACTCTATACTGATCCTTTCACACTGCTCTAAGGATACTTACGCCACTACAGAGCTTTAGGAATTGAGGTGCATCTTTACCATGAACTAAAAAGCCCCTGGTGGCGCAGTGGTTAAGTGTTCAGCTGCTACCCGAAAGGTCAGTGGTTCGAACCCACCAGCTGCTCTGTGGGAGAAAGATGTGGCGGTCTGCTTCCATAAAGATCACAGCCTTGGAAACCCTACGGGGCAGTTCTACTCTGTCCTGTAGGGTCGCTATGGGTTGGAATCGACCCGACAGCAATCGGTTTACTATGAACTGGATGCTCACTTTCCACCCTAAAACAGTAGTAGAGTGCTCAGAGTTTTTAGCCCTTCAGTTACACTTAAAACGTAGAATAACATACTTTAAAAGAAAGAAAGAAGAGGAATTCCTGAGTCACTTCCGGTGGGGTTGGCAAGAAGAAAAGAAGAGTGGGTTTATTCTGTGAAGGATTTCTAGCATTATTAAATATCTCCAGCATCCCGGATTTCTGAAGGATTTCTAGCATTATTAAATATCTCCAGCATCCTGGATTTCTGAACTAGAAAATTCAGACAACTGTCTGGTATTAGTCAGATTTAGGGAACACTTGATTTTTCTCTTTTCCATATCTTCTTCAGCTTCCAGAAACGTGAGCCAGTGTTAACTCCTCTGCAGCTGTTTACAGTTATGTGCAGAATGTTTAAAAAGTCCTATTTACTTAATAGCTGTTTTTCACCACATAGAAACTAAGATAGGAAATGGTTAACTTCTGCCAACTAGCTGGCCGTACTCACATATCTGTATAGATAAATGCAAACTATAATCTATAAATGTGCTTAAGGGACACCATCGAAGTGTAGTATTTCTGTATTTTAGATCTTTCCAAGGTTTAAAAGCAGACTTTTAAAATTTCACACATTTCTGTGGCCTTGATGGCATTTTCAGGTTTTTAAACTTCAGGGTAAAATAAAATATAAGGTTAGATAACAAAAAATGTACTTAATTAATATAAATTTCATTTTAACAGTTTTACTGAAATGTGTATAACAAAGCTAAGTAAAACAGCATCCAAACAGAAATAAAATAATTTCATTTGAATGATTATTCCTGTGCTAAAAGAACTTTATATACATACACAGGAGTCTTTTCAACAGGAGGTCACTCTAGCAGAACAGGAGTCCCTGTGATCCTATCATTTCAACCCACCAAGGCAATGGCACCATCTTCTCGAAGTTACTAATGAGGTGACTTACTATTTTAATAAGGAACCCTGGTGGTGCAGTGATTAACACAATTGACTGCTAACCAAAGGTCCGTGGTTCGAAACCACCAGCGGCTCCGAGGAAGGAAGATGTGGCAGGCTGCTTCCGGAGAGACTCACAGCCTCAGACACGCGGCGAGGTCGTTCTGAGTCAGAAGTGACTTGACGGCAGTGGGTTGGTTTATTAGTTTAATGGTATTTATTTTCGTGAACGAGCCTCCTGCTCCAAGCCCAAACTATCTAAACTGGTCCAGTAACAACTACAGCAATTTGAAATAAGTGAGGAACCCTGGTGTCAGCACCAACACTGAAAACTACCGCTTGCATTAGAGGAGCAAAAGGATCACTCTGTGTTTACTGAAAATTAACCACACAGCCACTGTTCGAGGGGCTGATCTGATCCACCTATCTCTCCAGGAAGTAAAAGCCAAGACTAATTCATTAGTCGTAGGCAGTAAGAAAAATAAATTCCTATTGTCCATCCTAATTTATTAACAATCCAAAGAAATTATGCATGGAAAAAA